ATGTATGGTAAGGGCGGTTTAGCCGCCTTACCTTATTTAGCAAATGTAAATATGAGGGTGAGACCCTCATATCTCTTTTTCCTTGCCATTTTTGAAGAAGTGTGTGATTTAAAGTTAGGTTGACTGGATTTCATATTACCTTATTTCAAGAAGTTGAACTCATCTAATTTTTAAAGGAAATTGCATAAGGTGAGTGATTTTAATGTTTTACTTTCTTGAAATACATAAATTGTTTGTATAACTTTTTATCTGGTTTGAAGTTTAAAACCATATGGGTGTTGTCCAATCTAGATTTAAATCGAATAAGTGTTAAGCAATTTAGACATAAACTGGATAGAACGTGAGCGGGTTAAGACTAAATCGCTGGTTATATCAACCGGTTTAGTTTTAAACCGGACATGGTGTGAGCGATTTAAGTATAAACAGCTCAAGTATTAAGCAGTTTAGTTTTAAACCTGACATGTCTTAACTAGTTTAAATATTGAGCGATTTATGAACTTTGATCTTATGTTAAATGTTTCAAACGGAAAAGTAGGAATACAACTATGAGGTGGCTGGTTTATTTTAAATCGGACATAACATCCGGATTGTTAAATCGGATGATCATGAATAGTGTTGTCCGAATTTGTTATCCGGACAAGGTTTTGTGATTTAAGCCAAGTGTTAAATCGGACAAGTTCTGTGAAAGTATTGTCCAGATTTGTTATCCGGACAAGGTTGACCGAATTATGTATTGACTTGTCATGATATGGAACAATAAATGGGAATTTTGACAAAATGAATTTGAACTGATAATAATTCCAATGACTACGGTCTATTCTATATGGAATTGTTTTATGAAATATTTTGATGAGGAAATAAGGGTGACATATCAAGGAGAGGTGTACCATAGGATAAGGGTGGCATATCAAGGAGAGGTGTAACATGGGATGAGGGTGACATATCAAGAAGAGGTGTACATTTGGATATAAGGGTGGAATTTATATATGTGTGATATGTAATATAACTCCTACTATCATATCCCTTAAGATTACCATGGTCTGAAATCTTTATTTCTTTGTGATTTAAAGGTTTAGGATCAGGGTTCTTATTGGAAATTATAGTCTGGATGTTATTGAAGAGGAGATAACAAATTTGGCATGAAACTTTGAATAAACCGTATTCGATTTAAGAGGTTTAAAGTGGCATTATGTTAATTTGGTTAGTATAAACCTGTTTGGATTTGATGTATTATTTGTAAGAAGAGAAATTTCGCTTGAAAAGTAAAAGGTATTGATATTATGCCCTTGCTTGTTCATATATTTGTTATATATATGAAAAGTTGTTTTACATAAAGTTTTTGGGGATTTTCACCCTGCAATAACATGAATATGATAACTCACTAGACCTTTCGGTCTAACCCTCGTTTTGTGATTTTAAATATGTATTGAAGGAAGTGCCAACGGTAAGGGGAAGGGAAAATGTAATATTTTCCCTATGTGATTATCCGCGTGAAGATTTACTGACGACATGTATAGTTTTGATAAGTAAAACTGGTTTAGTGCAAGAATTGTATTTGGAATTTTTGGATCATGTATTTTGTACTAGTAGATTCTTGTACTAAGGGACCAATGTAGTATACAAACATGTATTTCTTATATATGAAGTATATGTTACATGCAATGTGTGGAATGGGGTGTTACAGAAAGTGGTATCAGAGCCTGAGTTTAAGGGATTTAGGTATTCAACAACATGATACCTAGACTTAAACTGTTTTATTGCATGTTAAGGGTCCCGGACATATTTAGCACCATTGGAAATAAATATAATGAGTTGAAAGAACAGTGTGTAAGG